GGGCCGAGGCGAGGGCCCCTGGAGGCTCCCAAAAGAGCCCGCAACGGGCCCCGGGAGGCTCGCAAGAGGGCCCCGGGATGCTCCAAAGAGAGCCCCAAGACGACCAAAGGCCTCGAAGGCGCCACAAGACGGCCCAAAAATGCCCCAAGACTGTCCAAGAGGGCATCACACCAAGGTTCCGAAACGCGAACGGTGACGTCGAAAGCTCGTAACATCAATGCTCCCACGAGCGAGCGGCAACGTACAAATCTCTGGACACCATAGCTCCCAAGAGCGAGCGGTGACGTTAAACGCTCTGCACACCAAGGCTCCCATGGATTAATGGTGCCATGAGCCATCTCAAGCAAATGGCGGGAAGCGCCTTGTCGGAACGGAAAGGTGATGGGAGTTTTCTAGCATATGCTGAACGAACAAGGTATACATGAAGAACACATCGCGAGGGACAACTGGCTCCCGATTGTAGTTGCCAATCGCTTGGCGAATGACGGGAAGCGCCATGTCGGAACGAGAAGGTGATATGAGTTTTCTTAGCATATGCTGAATAAGGTATACAGAAAGAGCACACTCGCGAGGGACAACTGGCTCTCGCTTGTAATTGCCAATCGCTTGGCGGATGGCGGGGGGCGCCTTCTCGGAACGAAAAGGTGATGGGAGTTTCCTAGCATGACCTGACCAAGGTATAAACAATACAAGCTGGCGAAAGACAGCTGGCTCCCGATCGGAAATGCTAAACGCTTGGCGGGTTCTCCTCAACATGGCCGTTTCGACTGAGACACCCTCGAACACTTGAGATGCTGAGGCCGTGTGGTTATGACGTCTTTTGTCAAACATGAAGCTCTCGCTCGAGACATCCTCGGACAATGAACTACTAAGCTCGCTCACGAAAATCAGCGAATCGTTGGACATTGCCGTTCCGCCTGAGACATCCCCGAAACATTGAGATGTTGAAGCCGTGTGGTTAGGACGTCTTTCGTTAAAAATCAAGCTCTCGCTGGAGACATCCTCGGAAAACGGCACTCGCAACATCTTAGCTCGAAGTCCTGTCTCCTCCGTCTATTCCGTCTCCTCCGTCTCTGAGGTCTCCTCCGTCTCTGAAGTCTCCGTCTCCTCCGTCTCTGAAGTCTCCTCCGTCTCTGAAGTCTCCTCCGTCTCTCCTCCGTCTCCTCCGTCATCCTCCTCCTTCTCCTCTTCCCCCTCGTCCTCCTCCTCCTCCTCCTTCTCTTTCATCGCGTACGCGCGCGCCGTGCATCCCCCCAGCCCCTCGCCCCCATGACGCATCCCGCACGCGCGCCGTACATCCCGCCCGCCCGTCGCCCCCATGCCACATCCAGCGCGCGCGCCGTGCATCCCCCCGCCCGTGGCCCCCATGACGCATCCCGCGCGCGCGGTGCGTCCCCCCCGCCCGTCGCCCCCATGACGCATCCCGCACGCGCGCCGTGCATCCCCCCCTCCCGTCGCTCCCATGACGCAACCCTGCGCACGCTCAGTGCCGCTCACGCAGGCACATGCACCAGCGCGGCAGACCAGCGCGGCGCGCCAGCGCGGAATTCTTTAGCATGCCCAACCAGACGTCATCTGACGAGCCTTGTGGACAAAGCGGCTCTTCCCGTTCTTGTCCGGTCAGGGTTCACTCAAAATAGCAGTTTCGCCTGAGACATGCTCAAAGTAATGACATGTTGAAGTGATCGATTTCAAAAGCCTTTCGTCAAACATTCGGTTCTCACTTGAGGCGTCCTCGGACACTGAGCTACTGATCTCGCTCGCGAAATGCAGCGAATCTTTGGACATTGCCGTTTCACCTGAGACATCCTCGAACACATCAAGTTGTTGGAGCCGTTGTCCTGAGACGCCTTTCGTCAACAAATTAGGCCCTCGCTTGAGACATCCTCGGACAATGCCCCCTCGGAATGGCCGCTTCGTCTGAAACATCCTCGAACACTTGCGATGTTGAGGCCGTGTGGTTAAGACGCCTTCAACGAAAAATGAGGCTCCCGCTCGAGACATCCTCGGAAAATGAGCTACTGAGCTCGCTCACGTAATTCAGCGAATCGTTGGACATTGCCATTTCGCCTGAGACCTCCCCGACCTAGGATCCCACCACCAAGCTGTTCATGTACGACTCGATTTGTCTACCATTGCGAGATAGCGACGGCGAAGACGTATGAAAACACGACCAACAACAGCCGGGCGACCACCAGCGAACGACCCAGCTTTCCAGCAACATCTCGAAGAAGCATTGCAGACGCACTCACACGCGTCGACAAAGAGCGAAAGGTGCACAGACACGGAACGAGCAAAGAAAACTGCAACAGAAGCTTACGAGACCCAAGCCGCCCACCCCAACGACTCCCACCGAGCGACCGACCAAGAGCAAACAAACAGCTACGCGACCTTATCGCACAACGGAGCAAAACACCACACGAGGACACTGCGACCCTCAAAGCTATCAGCAAGAATACCTTCAAGGAATTGCGGTATTTAAAACGGGCTCGACGGCAAGACACAATCAGGGACATCATCGTCAATTTCACAGGCCTTAGGAAGATAAAGGGAATCAAACCAACGAAGCACAAAGACGTGATACCATCAATGACAAGGCAAGACGGCAACGACGAGACCGACCGGCAAAGCATTTTAGCAACGTTCTGCGAACAACTTTACCGACAAACCGACTCCAACAACGGACGTTCGACGCACGGCTGCCGCCCCCCTGTCCCTTGCCGCGAAGACCTGGAGGCCGAAGTGAGGCCGAACCAAAGACCACCTTTTACTCAAGAAGAGGTACACCAAGCAATCGAAGAGCTCAAAGACGGAAAATGCAAAGACACAGCGGGAATCACTGCAGAAATGTTGAAGGCAGGCGGGCCGTGCATAGAACAGCACCTACAATGCTTGTTCAACGACATCATTCACCCAGGACAGTTACCGCCAGAGCAGTGGAGGCGCACCACCATTACTGTGATTTTCAAATCAGGAGACGCAAAACTGCCACTAAACTACAGACCAATTGCAATTATCTATCTCCTGTACAAGCTTATGTGTCGACTCCTGTACAATCGACTGGGTCCACTGTTAGACAAGCAGCCAAGCGTAGACCAAGCAGGCTTCAGACACGGCTACAGCACCGACGACCACTTATTCACGACGGCCCTCCTGCACAACCAGTCAGAAGAATGGCAACTACGACTCTGGGTAGCAGCGGTTGAAGTTAAGAAAACATTCGATTGTGTCAACCACAACGCACTATGGGACTCACCCAGAGAGCAGCAGGTGCCGGCATCCTACATACACCGCCTCCAACTATTCTGCACCGACCTTACAGCTACACTACGGACGGACAGCACGAGCAGACAGTTCAACATCCAGCGAGGTGTGAAACCAGGAGACCCACTGAGCTCCCTACTTTTCAACGCACTACTTGAAAGCATTTGCCGACGCACGAAGGACACTTCGCGCAACAAACAGTTTGGCATACAGATGGGTTTCACCGCGGATACCCTCCTCACCAACCTCCGTTGACGACGTTTTATTGTTTGCGCTAAACTTGCGTCAACTGAAATGGTTATTGCGCGACCTCAAGCTCCACTCGGCACAATGCGGCCTTGAGTTATAACCAAACAAGACGAAATACTGATCAACGTCACCCGGCGACAAGGCAGAACTATCAAGGACACTAACATCGAAGGTGATAGCGTCGAGATTTTGGACGCAACGCAGAGCACGAAGTATCTGGGCAGGAAACTTACACACCACGACTTCCACATCACGGAGCTCGACAACAGAATCGCGTCGGGCTGGCGCCGATTCAACCAACTGAGACTCGAATTGACATGCAAACGCTCCCTTCTCGCAGGGCGCCTACGCCTCTTCAATGGGACCGAAACGCCCAGTGCCATGTACGGATGCAGCTCGTGGGCCCTAACCAAAGACATGCTTACATTACTACAGCGTGCACAGCGGAAGATGATCCGAATCATCGTGGGCACCGGCAGACGACGCACGCGAGGGAATCACTGGAACGACGACGAGAAAGACCTCCAACTTAGCAGCGACCAACAGGAGGAAGGAGATGGAGCAGAGTGCGCAGAGCTTGACGGAGACTTCGCCGAGAGCAACCCAGACAATGACGACAGCACTAACAACGACGACTTTGGCAACGACGGAAGCACTAAAAGCAGCGACAGCGATGACGACGACGACGGCGGCAGTGCCAGCAGCAACGACGACGACACCAACAGCAACGAGGGATTAGAGCCATGGATGGACTTCATCCGACGAGCGACGTACACAGCCGATGCCCATGCCAGACGCGCAAAAGTCGACGATTGAGCTTCGCACTACTTTAAAGTAAAGTGGAGATGGGCCAAGCTTGTTGCCGTTTTACCCGCCGACCGCTGGGTGCGAGCGCGCCGCCGCTTGGCAGCCTCCGCTGCACGACAGACCCGCACGTCGAGAACAAGGCGGACAGCGGAAGCGTTGGGACACCGAGATCGTCAAATTTTTGGACACCATGGATATGATTGTAGTGGCTGCGAATGGTGGTTTGCACTGGCGCACGGTAGCTACACTTGGCAAGGCTTAGAGAACAAGTTTGTACGATACGCCGTCGACCAGCAAAGCACGGACGACGCGACCTGAGACACCCGGCCCGTCCGCCAGGACGTGAAATCGAACCAGAGCGAGCTGGACATGCACACCCTCCACCTTCCGACCCCCAACTCTCACGTCCACATCCCGACTTCCAGCATGCGACAATCGATTTTTCACTTCCACCTCCACCTATCGATCTCCAGCTTCTTCCAACTCACCACTCCCACCTCCAGCATCCAGCATTCCGACTTTCACTTCCACCTCCACCTGTCGACCTCCAGCGTCCAGCAGCGCAGCAGCATGTTCTGCTGATGCATGGCAAGGCGCACTTTCAACACAAGATCAAATAAGGCTTCAGCATCGTGAACATTGATCGCCATGATCGAACGAATACGCCAATTTGTCTTTTTTTCCGTGAGTGCTGTGCGATTTCGCTGGACAGGCACCTGCGGAAGTCGCTGCGTCTGGAATGAGCGGTTGAAGACAAGTCTGTATGGATGTACGCAGCTGGCGCTAAGAGCACAAGCGGATGCTGCTGCTTCTGAGCATCATCGTGAAACTGATGCACGAGTTACAGCTCCATGCAGCCATATTCGACACACTTGCTTGGAATGTCGGGACTTCCAATGCAGAGAAGAGAAGGATGTTCAGGAGCAGAGTGGAACATGATGGGGCGAGGCAGATGGATGGGCAATACCTGATGTGGACCTGGTGGCTTCGGAGGCAGCATGTAGAAGACCGCGAAGGGTATGTATAGCAAGAGAATGCACGAGAGGAGGTGGGGGGAGGACCCTGTTGTCCCGCCGGAACGCACCTCCTGCAATTGACCTAATTGAGGGAGGTGCCCAGACGCAGTTCTCTACGAGCTGCGAGCAGCCTGTGGGGACCTCCCACAACTCCATGTTCACTGACGGGAGGTCCCCAGAAGCCGCCGGGACTGGGGTTCTGGGAGCCTCTGGAGCCTCCCGTAATTGAAGCCGCCAGGACTGCGGCTCTGGGGGGCCTCAGGGGACCTCGTGTAATTGAAACCAACTACGGGATGTCCCTAAAGGCAGCCAGGACTGCTGTTCTGGGGGGCCTCTGGGGACCTCGCGAGTTGAAGCCACTTACGGGAGGTCCCCAGAGGTCGCCAAAACTGCTCTTCTGGGTGCCTCTGGGGACCTCCCGTAATCAAAGCCAATTACGGGAGGTCCCCAAAGGCCGCCACCAAGTGGATCTCGGAGCCTCTGGGGATCTCGCGGATTGAAGCCAGTTACAGGAGGTCACCAGAGGCAGCCAGGACTGTGATTCTGGGCGTCTCTGGGGACCTCTCGTAATTGAGGCCAAGTACGGGGGCTCACCAGAAGCCGCAGTCCTGGCGGCTTCAATTACGGGAGGTCCCCAGAGGCTCCCAAAATCCCAGTCCTGGCGGCCCCTGGGGCATGGAATTGCGGGAGGCCCCCAGAACCACAGTCTTGGCGGCCTCAGGGAACCTCCTGTAATCTGCTTCAATTACGCAAGGTCCCCCAAAACTCCCAGAACAGCAATCCTGGCGGCCTCTGGGGACCTCCCGTAAAAGAATGTGGCACTGCGGGAGGTCACCACGAGCTGCTCGCAGCTCGTAGACAACTGCCTCTGGGCACCGCCCTCACTTGGGTCACTTGCAGGGGGTGCTACCTGGCCGAAACACCGACGCAAGAGGAGGAGGATGAGGAGGAGGGGGACGAGAAGGAGGAGGAAAAGGAGGAGGAGGAGGAGGAGGAGGGGAGGAGGAGGAGGAGGAGGAGGATTGAGGATGATGATGATGATGATGATGATGATGATGATGATGATGATGATGATGATGATGATGATGATGATGATGATGCTGCTGCTGCTGCTGCTGATGATGATGATGAGGAGGAGGAGGAGGAGGAGGAGGAGGAGGAGGGGGGGATGAGGAGGAGGCAAACTTCGTACCTGGAGTTCGCGCAACGTTAACGGAGGAGGAGGAGGAGGACGAGGAGGAGGGGGAGGAGGAGGAGGATGAGGATGGGGAAGAGGAGGATGAAGATGATGATGAGGGGGGGAGGAGGAGGATGAGGAGGTGGAAGAGGACGAGGAGGAGAAGGAGGAGGAGGAGTAGGTAGGCTTCGTACCTGGAGTCCGAGCAACATGACAAATGATGAGGAGTATAATGAAGATAATGGGGAGGAGGCGGAGGAGAAGGGGAAGGATGATGATAAGGAGAAGGAGAAGAAGAAGGAGGAGGAGGAAGAGGAGGCAGAGGAGGCATAGGAGGAGGAGGAGGAGGAGGAGGAGGAGGAGGAGGAGGAGGGGAGGAGGAGGAGGAGGAGGAGGAGGAGGAGGAGGAGGAGGAACAGGAAGAGGAGGAATACTAGCGAGGATTAACGCAGCTAGGTGAGGACGTAGCGCCACGGGGGCTCGAGGGCTGCTGGTGGGTCCTGCGGAGTGAGGCACCGCGCGGACCTGAACGGGACCTCGCCGTCCCTGGGGGGCTGCGATCTGCGAAACTGTCGCCGCTTTCGAGGGCCGCTGGTGGCTCCTGCGGAGTGAAGCACCGCGCGGACCTGGGCGGGACCTCGCCGTCCCTGGGGGGCTGCGATCTGCGAAGCTGTCGCCACTTTCGAGGGCTGCTGGTGGGTCCTGCGGGGTGAAGCACCGCTCGGACCTGAGCGGGATCTCGCCGTCCCTGGGGGGCTGCGATCTGCGAAACTGTCGCCACTTTCGAGGGCTGCTGGTGGGTCCAGCGGAGCGAGGCACCAGGCAGATCTGAGCGGGACATCGCAATCCTTGGGTGGCTGCGAGCCTCACGAATGCCGCTTGCAGAAGTAGATGCGCCCATGTCACGTCTTCACCTCCATATAACGTCCCACACGCTACTCATGCCCCGCATTGCGCAGGGGTTGGGTATGTCGCCGAGGTAATTTAAATGGGATGTGCGCGGCGAGAAGGCGAGAGTCACATATTGAAAACGACCCGCCCTCTATCTGTGAAGCTGTTGCCAATGTTGAAGCTTCAGGGTCATAAGTGGTGAGGAAGTCTCAGGCGAAACGCCCCGCCCGCCTTAAAATCTGGCCTCGGGGTGCGACACGGAGAAATCATGTATAAGGAAAGGAAAGGAATGGAGGAGGAGGAGGAGGAGGAGGAGGAGGAGGAGGAGGAGGAGGAGGAGGGGGAGGAGGAAGAGGAGGAGGACGAGGAGGAGGAGGAGGAGGAGGAGGAACTTAGCGCTGTGTTTTGTCAAGGATTCGGCCGAGGGGTGGGGGAGGGGGGGCGGGCGTCTGGGTGTCGGAATCTGGCCCCAAACATGCTCGCGTCGTAAAAGAATCAGGACGGGAAGTGTTTCGCTACTTTCGGGCCCCGGGGGCCGCGTCAAGAAGCGGCTCCGGATGAAGAGCCGGTCCCGGGGAAACGGTCCGGACTTCTGGGGGCGCCGTCCTGAAAAACATCGGATGAAAGCAAAAAAAAGCCCGGGGAAGGGGTCCAGACCTCTGGGCCCACGCATCGAACAAATTGGAGCAAGCGGATGTCTGGACATGGGCGGCGCGGGCGAGGTGACGGGCCCAGGCCCAGGCTCGCCGCAGGCAGGCGTTGGCAAGAGCGGCGGCGGCGGAGGCGAAGGGCATGCGGGGCGGGTGGCCACGGAACGACTCGAGTGCGGGCCCCAAGAATATACACCACCACCACGTCGCTTCCTCCTCCCTCCTCATTGCCCTCCTCTTCCTCCCCTCCCTTCCTGGGAGAGGGAGCGGGGGGGGGGAGGCGGTGGTGGTGTCTGTTCTTGGGCCCCGTGTTGAGATCGCAGGCGAGGAGGCCGGCCCCGAGCGCGGGCATGGGCTCGGCGGCAAGAGCGGGCGCCGCGCGCGCCCTGGAGGAGGCGCGCAGGGCCGCCAAGGAGACGGTCTTCCTCTGGGCGGCGTTTTGGGTCGGGCATGTTCTCCTACCTTCGGCTTTTGGAAGACAAATTGAACACAGTGAACCACACTCAATAATAGTAGAAAGAATTGAGACATCGTCCCCATTCTCTCCTTAACAGGCAAAGAGATTGCTATGCTTGAAGATACCTCTGGTGACGAGGGACATGCCCGACTTGAGCGGAGTTCCAGGCAGCGCGGGAAGCGCTGCCCGAGCTTAGTCGCCCGACATGGATACGGAAAAACTGGCACACTGCCCCGCAACAAGTGGGCGACGATCAGACACGGGCCGCCGGCACGGCACGATGCATTGGAAACCGGGGCCCTCGCGCGCGACCTGACGCGGCCAGCTTGCGCGCCAATGTTGGCGAAGGCGGCCCCGTTTACGTGCGTCGCTCAAATGGCGTCCAAAACCAGCAGCTGGTGCTGTTGGGCAGGCGGCCCTCTGTCTCGAATGGGCAGCGTCCACGACGGCGTCGACAACGAGTCTTGCTCAAAAAGGGAAGAAGGCATTCCGTCGGTCTTTGTGCCCACTCTTCCCGTACCCACTTCGATCGTCCCGACCAAGGGGCAATCAGAAGGCCTGGCGGCGTGAGCTCGCGGAGCTGCGCACGGGCCCCGAGCGACAGGGCGGGGAAGATGCCGAACATCATCCGCGACTTGAGGTCGGGGCCCGTCTCCTAGCTCGGCAATCTTGATCTGCTGCTGCGCCGCGACCGGCCGGCGGGCGCGGGGCGGAGCGCCTCTGCTTCAGCCCGTTGGCGGGCGCGCGCATCCATCTCCTTCTGCTCCTCCCCTGTGGGAGGAGGGGGTGGAGGGGGAGGAGGGGGAGGAGGGGGAGGGGGAGGGCGAGGAGGAGGGGGGGGAGGAGGAGGAGGAGGAGGAGGAGGAGGAGGAGGAGGAGGAGGAGGAGGAGGAGGAGGAGGAGGAGGAGGAGGAGGAGGAGGAGGAGGAGGAGGAGGAGGAGGAGGAGGGGAGGAGGAGGAGGAGGAGGAGGAGGAGGAGGAGGAGGAGGAGGAGGAGGAGGAGAGGAGAGGAGGAGGAGGAGGAGGAGGAGGAGGAGGAGGAGGAGGAGGAGGAGGAGGAGGAGGAGGAGGAGAGGAGGAGGAGGAGGAGGAGGAGGAGGAGGAGGAGGAGGAGGAGGAGGAGAGGAGGAGGAGAGGAGGAGGAGGAGGAGGAGGAGGAGGAGGAGGAGAAGGAGGAGGAGGAGGAGGAGGAGGAGGAGGAGGAGGAGGAGGAGGAGGAGGAGGAGAGAGGAGGAGGAGGAGGAGGAGGAGGAGGAGGAGGCGGAGGAGGCGGAGGAGAATTTGTGCACTGCTGGGCGGTGTGGGCTCGCGGCGCCCCCGAAGCGGTTCTCGCCAGGGGCCCCATCGCGCCCTCCTGGATGCCCAGCCGGCCTCCAACGAGCGGTGGAGGTCCGCCCTGAAACGGCCACCGCAGTGGGCCCATCACTCGTTCGCGTCGCCTGGCCGCTACCCGCTTCTCCCTCCCGCTTCTTTCTCCTCCTGACTCTCTTTGCCCTCCTCATCCTTCGCCCCCATCTCCCTCCCCTCCTGCTCCTCGCCCCTCCTCCGCCAACCCTTCTCCTCGCCCTCCACTTACCTCCACCCCCCTACCCAGCTCCTCCCCCCCCCCTCGTCCTCGCCGTCGTCGTGGTCCTCTTCCTCCTCCTCCCCCCTGCTGCCCCTTGTCCTGCTCCGACCTCTCTCCGTCCTCCTCCTCCTCCTCCTCCTTCTCCTCCTGCTCCCTTCTCCTCGTCTTTCTCCTGCTCCACGTCCTCGTCCAGCTGCCGCTCCTTATCCTCGAGGGGAGGGGCGGAGGAACGAGCGCGGCGCGGGTGCCTCAGCCGCCCCCGCCCGCTCCACCATCGCCGCCGCCGCCTGGCGGGCTGATCAAGGGCCGCGGGGGCAGTCCAGGAGGGGGGTAGCCAGGCCCTCCTCCCCTTCTTCCTCCTTCCTCTTTCCTCCTTCCTCCTCCTCCTCCCCCTCCTCCTCCTCCTCCTCCTCCTCCTCCTCCTCCTCCTCCTCCTCCTCCTCCTCCCCCCAAACCCTTGTTCCTTGTTAAAAGCTCCTCCCTGTCGCACCCCCAGACGTGTCGGTAGGGTGGGCAAGATATTTCGCCTGAGGCTCCGTCGCCGTGTATGATCCTGAAATTTCGAAGATGCAACAGCTTCAAGGATGTAGGGCGGGTGGTTTTCGAAATGTACCTCTCGCCTTAGCGCCGCGTTCATTCGGATTAAAGCATTGCAGCCGTTTCGAGGATGGAGGGCGGTTCCTTTTCACAATGTGGGTCTCGCCCGAGCGCCGAAGACAATTCGTGTTAAACTTTTGCAACAGCTTCAATGGCCCGTAGGGTTGAGATCCCAGGAACTGTCTTCTGGCACGCTTTCTGATTGCCAGGACGCGTTCGAAGTGAAATCCCAGGAACGGTATTCCAACATGCTTATTGTCAGCGCGCATCAGTCTAGCAGATTCGCGGCCCTGACGCCCCAGGAGTGGTGTTTTGGCATGATCTATGGCGCAACGGTGACGTTGATTCGTGACATTCAGGTCCCAAGAACTGTGCTGGCACGATGGATGATTCTCAGATGGTTCTCAATCAGTGGGGCACTTCCCGCAAATAAAGCATAATTTTGTAGGGACCTACGAAGGGGGTGCTTGGAGGGATGGTTCATTGCAACATCGTTGATGCGTCGTGGGTTTGATCTGATTCTCCTCCTCCCACCCACTCCCTCCTCCTCCTCTTCCTCCTCGGTCACCCTCCTTTCCTCCTTCTCTTCCTGCGCGGAAGGATCAACATCAGGCGGTAGATCGGCAAGAAGAGGAGGGGACAGGTGGAGGGAGGAGGCGGTGTAGGGGAGGGAGGAGCGAGCAGGGGCAAGAAAGAAGGCAGCATTATAATGATGTTTTTTTTTTTGGTAAGCTGGTGATGATGATGCGGATGGGGGTGATGTTTGTAGTGCCGACGGTGCTGGGCATGATCCATGTGATTCTAATGACGATGACGAACGATAGCGATGATGACGATGACGACGATGATGATGGTGACGACGACGATGATCTATCTATTTATCTCTGGAGTTGGAACAGCCAATCAACTGGTGAACGTCTAAACACTGCGCTGCAGAAAATAGAAACTCACAAACTGCTTCGCTCTGCTGCATGTCGGACCGTGCTAACTCAACGCCAACACTCCATCGTTGTTGCACCCGTCCGTGGTAGACCCTTGTCCTCGTGCGGGACTCACTGGGGAAAAAAGCCGGATCCGGTGCCGCGTCAACCACGAGTCGGCTTGAAGACCAAGGAGTGCACGAGACCACGACGACGATGATGATGAGGTGACGATGATGACGATGATGATGATGATGCTGGTGATGATGATAAACCTGATGATGACGATGATGATTCTGATGATGATGATGGTTATGACGATGATGATGAACATGGCGATGATGACGATGGTGATGATGACGACGATTATAGCGATGGCGATGGCGATGATGATGATCACCATCATCATGATGATATGATGATCATGATGATGCTGATGATGATGCTGACGACGATGCTGATGATACTACGGATGATGATGACGATGATGGTGATGATGCTGCTGCTGATGATGATCCTGATGAAGATGATGCTGCTGATGATGGTGATGATTATGATGACGGTGATGACAAGGATGAAGATACTGATGATGATGATGATGACGATGATGATGATGATGACGATGATGATGATGATGGTGACGATGCTGATGATAATGATGATAATGAGGAAGGATATGGTTATGGTGATGGTGATGACGATGACGATGACGATGATGCTGCTGCTGATGCTGATGCTGATGCTGATGCTGATGGTGATGGTGATGATGATGATGATGATGATGATGATGATGATGATGATGATGATGATGATGATGATGATGATGATGGTGATGGTGATGGTGATGGTGATGGTGATCATGGTGGTGATGGTGATGAATGGTGATGGGGGGGAGCATGGGAGGACGGAATATGAGGAGGAGAAGGAGAAGGAGGAGGAGGAGGAGGAGGAGGAGGAGGAGGAGGAGGAGGAGCAGGAGGAGAAGGAGGATGACACTCCGTTCCACTGCGCGAAGTGTCCCACATGAAAAAGGATCACCGCATGGGCCCGCAGCTCAACGTTCAAAGAAAAACCAAACGACAACCACGAAAAGATCTGCCCTGCATCCGTTGGCTGTTTTTCCCGGAAAAGGCGCGGGCCCAAGTTTCTCCTTTTCCCGGAAAAAGCATGGGCCCAGAATTCCCTTTTAGTCGCTTGCCCCCGGAATCGGCTTCCGTAGGGCCAGCGAATTTTCGGAATTTACGCATGCCCGCTTGAGGAACATGTGCCCCATTTTCTCGTCGATAAATAACGGGGTCCGCAGACACACGTTTTCGCGCAGAATTCAAGATAAAGCACTAGGTATGGAAACATTTTCCGGGTACAAATCTGACAAATTGACTTGCTGCGGGCCCGCTCGAGGATTGCGCGTCCCGCGCGCAGGAATTTCGAGGATGTCTCCAGCGAAACGCTTGTTTTGCGGAACTTGAGCGGCCTGGGCGCCCCAGGATGCCCAGGTGCTTCTGGGAGCCCGAACACCATGAATTTACTGGGGAACGTGGCCCTGGAAGCGCGGACACAACGTAAATCACGAGGGAGCGCGGGCGCAGCGTAGTTTACAAAGGATCGTAGCCCAGGGAGAGCGGGCGCAGCGTAATTTACGAGGGATCGGGGCCCTGGGAGCGCGGACGCATGGTAATTTACGATGGGATCGTGGCCCTGGGAGCGCGGACGCATTGCAATTTACGATGGGGTCGTGGCCCTGGGAGCGCGGACGCAGCGTAATTTACCAGGGATGGTGGCCCTAGGGGGAGGAGAGAAGAGGAGGAGGAGGAGGAGGAGGAGGAGGAGGAGGAGGAGGAGGAGGAGGAGGAGGAGGAGGAGGAGGAGGAGGAGGAGGAGGAGGAGGAGGAGGAGGAGGAGGAGGAGGAGGAGGAGGAGGAGGAGGAGGAGGAGGAGGAGGAGGAGGAGGAGGAGGAGGAGGAGGAGGAGGAGGAGGAGGAGGAGGAGGAGGAGGGGGGGGGGACGCAGCGTAATGTACAGAGAGCGCGGCCCCGGACGCGCGGACACACAACGTAAGTCACCAGGGGGCGCGGCCCTGGGAGCGCGGATGCAGCGTGGGTTTTACAAAGGATCGTGGAAAAGGGCGAACGACGCAGCGTACTCTACGAGGCATCGTGGCCCTGGGAGCGCGGACGCAGCGTCATTTGCAGTGGATCGTGACCCTGGGAGCGCGGACGCGGTGTGATTAACGAGCGATCCTGGCCCTGGGTCAGGGACGTCCCGTAGCACGTTCCCTGTGGCGTCCTGTGGCGTCGTCTGGCACCTTCCCTGGCGCGTCGCCTGGCACGTTCCCTGGCACGTTCCGAGGCGTCCCGTGGCGAGTCCCCCTGGCACGCCGCATCCCCTGGCACGTCCCGTGGCACGTCAATTGGCACGTTCCATAGCGCGTCCCCTTGGCACGTCCCGCGGTGTGTCCCCCACGTCCCCTGGCGCTTCCTTTGGGACGTTCCGCGGCGCGTCCCCCTGGCATGCCCGCCTGGCATCGCCCGGTTGCATATGCAATTGAAGTCCTTAGAAACGGTTCCATGCCTCGCAGTTCTCAATCCCTTTCTGGGCTCGTGGGTCGATCATGTTTAATAGGTGAACCTGTCCCCGGTTCCAAATTCCTGTAAGGCTGGCGGATTCTTTCCCTGATGAATAACGAAGTGGCGCATGGCCGGCGGATTAAACTGTGAGGATGTCTGCAGCGAAACACTGGTTTTTGAAATTGAAATCTATAAGGCACAAGGACAAACACATATTTTCGTTTGCTGCGGATGTCTCGAGCGAAACGCTTGTGTTGCAGAATTTGTTCAGGGTGTCTCGGGCGAAACGATTCTTTTGTCATATAGATTGCTCCTCTCCCAGGGGCCAGAATTCAAAGGATGTCTCAGGCGATCTACTTGTTTTCAGGGGCCCAGGTAGCGCAGGGGGGTCCCTGACATGGTTGTCCCCAGATGGAACCAAGTGTTCTCACATGTCCAGGCCATCCAGGGGGTCTCTAAGATGGTGGTCCCGATCTGGAACCACGTGTTTTCACGTGTCCAGGCCGCGCAGTGGGGTATCTAACATGGTGGCCCCGAGCTGGAACCATGTGATCTTACGTGTTAAGGCCACCAACTGGGCTATCTAACATCGTTGCCCTGAGCTGGAGCCATGTGTTTTTACGTGTGCGGGCCACCCACGTGGGAATTTCTAGCATGTGGTCGTCTGGGAGCCCCCCAGCGTGGGGGCCCACAAGGGCCAGACAAAATCAACACATCGACGCCATATGTGTAGTAGCTTGATACAATTCCTTCGGCTGGTTATTTTCCAGATTTCCCGTTGAAGTACCTTACATTGTGGCCCCGAGCTGGAACCACGTGTTTTCGCGTGTCAAGGCCACCCAGAAAAGGCATCGAACATTGTGTCCCCGAGCTTGAACCACGTGCTTTCAAGTGTCCAGGCCACCCAGAAGGAAATCTAACATGATGGCCTCGAACTGGAACCACGTGTTTTCACGTCCAGGCCACCCACAAGTATTTCGAACATGGTGGTCCCGAGCTAGAGCCACGTGTTTTTACGTGTCCAGGCCGCTTGGGGGGATCTAAGCAGTGGAACCACATATTTTCACGTGTCCAGGCCAACCAGGGTGATATCTATCATGGTAGCCCCGAGCTGGAACCATATTTTTTACGTGTCCACGCCACCCTTGGGGATATCTAACATGGGTGTCCCGAGCTGGAACCATACGCTTTTACGTGGCCAGGCCACACA